TCACAGTTGATTAAAGTTCACCGAGAGCAGCCATTTCCAAACTGTCCCACTTGGACCCCAAAGGTTTCCTCAGAGGTCACGCCCCATGGACTTCCAATAGCAGTAGGCAGGTCTCCCCCCTCCCATCCCTTACATCAACCAGAATCATACTAATTTTGTCTGTTTTATTTACTGGGGTGTTCATATAATTCTGTTAACTACATAAACCCACAATGAAAACCACTAAGAACAACAGCAAAAGAAATACATGTATACTAGGAATTCCAACCCCAACTCCACAAGGGACCTGAGTTCAAAACCAAGGCTGACTAAAGGGGAGCCCTGACACATCTTTGCGATCTGTCCACTCCTGGAAGTGACCCACTTACACTTTCATTTGCAACAACACAACATTTAAGCAACATTAAGAAGCATAAAATAATATGGCTCAATCAACCATGTATTTCTTAATTAAGCCATATAATCTAGCCAAATGAAAGCATAAGACACTGGAATCAGTCTGAATTTAAAACGAGATAGTCATGAATGTGCATCCCACAAGTGATCTGGATAATCAAACACTAGCACTGTGTAGCCTTTTGAAATGCAGCATAATTGCCTAACAAAACACTCTTTACTATCAGAAGAAAGCATTTCCAATTTAAGGCCATCCTATCAACTATCATTCCAGTGCTTTCAGAACAATGTGCAAGACCAATGTTTAAATACTAAAATGAACCTTCTCTAATATTACAATCCCTACCAAAATTACTCAGTAAGAACTTGTGACAGAAATGACAAGGCTCCACCAGCAGCAGGGAAAACACGCCAAGCCATTCTGTGTAGAGCCTTGTCCTCCCCTACATGCAGTACCCTCTATACCAAGGAGGCCTTCCTAATGAGCCAATGAAACCTCAGTCTCCTCAGGGATGGGCTGGACTGTGGGGAGGCTGACCCTGTCAGACGTAGGGCTCTGATCCTTCCCAGAAGACCCAGGGGTTAACCGAGATGGCAATTCCAGGTCAAGGACACTCAAATCAAGATCCAAATACCAAAGAGAAGTAGGGATGCAGGAATGGAAGTCAGGTTACAGCCAGAGATCGGGAACACTCAAATCAATGCAACAGGAGAGTTGGAAGAGAAAAAAACACTGAATGTTGAAGAAACAAGACAAGTTAGGCAGATCACCAAGAAAGGGACAATACCCGAAACCCTTCAGTACAGGGTCACATCACTAACTCAGTCTGGCCCGAGCATCTAACCTCAAACAGCCAATTTGTTTTTCTGGTTAACCCAGATTACTTTGCAAGTGGAAGACTAAAAGCTCATCATAATGATCAATGGCGACAACCTTAACATAACACCTTGCTATCCCCACCTACCTGCCCAATATTAGTTCCATTCTCCGATGAGATGACAGTTTTATTCCAGCATTAACCCTCCAATAACAACTTCATTGCCTTCCATCTTTAGTGACAGCAATTTCATTCCCTTATGCCTCTCGTTTTCATTCTCTTCTACTCTACCCTGGTTTTTTTTCCCTCAGAGCCCATAGATAGGAACAGGGCATGCATACCTTCAAGAAATCAGTCTGGACATAAATCTGTTGGAAGACAACAGGGAAGCTGGTAGTCTAGGCAAACCAGATGGACTCTGCAGGCAGGGTCAGGTGGGGACACATGGTCGGGACTTGAAGGTACAGATCATTCCTCCCCATGTTAGCAATGTCTTTGTCACTCCACTCACTTCCAACCCATGGGCCTGCACTATGGCATCTCAGCTATTTTCTCTGAACTCCTGTGTCTCTGGATTTACTGTGACATTCTGAGTCTGATCATCTGTGGACTTAACTCTCCTGTGTGTTTCTAATCCTAGCTCAAAAACCCAATCCTGAGTGCTTCTTCAAACATTTGTTCTGAATCTGGGACTTTTTTTATGATTAGCCCTACCAGTGGGCTAACCAGGCATCTACTTTACTTAGAGGACAGTCACTGTACATGTCTAAAGTTTTCACTCAGTGGTTACCCCACTATCATGCAAAATGGGCACTGCATGTTATTTGCAGAGGATGCTGACCAAAGTCTGAGGTACCCAGCCAGAGTCGAAGGTTGTCCTTCCTCAGCTTTGGAAGACCCTGGGGAAACAATGAGCTTGCCCTCAGCAGCCCTATGACCCCGTCATTCAGGCAGAGTTAGACAAACTAGTAGTCCAACTACCCCTTACAGATGAGTAAGGCCCATTTCCTCAGGGCTGTGCAATTAAAACTGAAGGGTTAAAATTTTCCACCATCTCTGGTGCTACCATAGAACCTCACTGGCAACTTAAGGACTGTCCTCAGGCCAGTGGTCAAAAAATTATCATAAGTATAACTCTCACAATGTTATGTTATTGAATCTGATATACTATATCTTAACCAATTTTCAAATTAACTCTTGGAGATAATTATTTCTAGTAACTAAGAAGTCATCTTTTCAAACATTTCTTCTATTTGGTTAAATAAACTTGGGGAAGGGCTCCCTCAAAACTAAAAATTAGAAATAATAATTATTTAAATATCAGGCTAATATACAGTTTAATTCTGTACAAATAGTGCAAGTAAATCTTGATAATTCAGGATAAGCTTAATATTTAATACAGTACTCCTTCTAGAGTCCCAAAGTACATATTAAACACTAGTATAGCGCTACTTCAAGTGTATTTCTCATTTCACCAACAGAAATAGAAAACTCACAGGACTGTGAATCATTGTCCCATTAGTTCATTTAAATCTCTACAGTCCTAATTTCAGAGCTAAACACAGTGGGTGCTCAATAATTTGCTTTCTACATGTATAATATCAAATCGAACTCCTTAATTACACATTGCTTCTACATATTTGTCCTTGTCAAGCTGGTTTCTGTACCTAAATGAGGGAACTAACTATTGTTCGTGTGATGAAAGGCTAAGCTTTTTCAAAGAGACCAACAATAAATATATTTTAAAATTTATAGTAGATGGCACATATCAGTCATCAAAATGGAATCAAGCACATCCCATATATATGTTGATTAATATACCATATTACCACCTTCATGCTAAACTATCATGCTTGCTCAAGAATTCAAGGTGCTAAAGATAGACAGTATCAGATAGTAAGTATAAATGTGACTATTACCAATCTGTAAATCCCAAGACAACCTTATAAGTATTTCTGAAGAGTTGTGATTTTTAATAGCATTAAACAGAGGCTTTCAAAATAAGGTCAAATTACAAATGGCAATTTCCTATTTTTACTTTCAAATTCCTTAAAAACTTGAGTAAGCATTATACAGTTCCAAATGTTATCAAATTAAGAAAAACTTTTTAAATGTCAAGATGAAGTACCTTCTTTATTTACCTTTAAAACCTATTAATGATGGCTAATTCAGATAACTAAAACAGATTACAATGTTGATTAACACAGTAAAGCACACATAGCACAAACTGAAAAGAACTGAACATAATTACTTCAAAGGACTTTCCCTAGTACTGGGGGAGAAAGTTAGAACTTCGGTTATGTAGGACAGATTTTCCTTAAGACCCAGCTAAGTAAAAGTGTCATGAACCAATGCAACGCACATCCAGGAGAGTCTAAATGAAATGACTCTGTACTTACACAGCAGTGGCACAAAATGAAAAGAGAAGTAATTCACATTCTAATAAAAACATTTTATTTCAACACATATTCCAGAGCAAAGGCCTTAGCATCTTCATCTTTAGAGGTCTATGGGTTATATGCAAAATTTCATACATATATTCATCTTCCTAAAAAAATGTCTATAGTTCTCATCACATTGTAAAAGAATATGACCAAAAACAAGATTAAGACTCCATACAGAGAATCAAATTTTCCCACGAGTAATTTCTCATTAGTTTCATATGACCCAAGAAATAGAAATGCTCAACAATGAAGGAGGCTAAATAGTAACATTTTGCTCACAATAAACTTCAACACAGGTAGTCTTTTATATTATATGATATGAATCCATGCCCCAAAATCAAGTAAGAAACTGAGGCTCCTTTGATAAATTTTCAAAATGGGGGGGGGGGTGTTAACTGGAAGATGGTTATAGATTGTCTGCAAACTCATTCTCAATTCTTGCAAACTGGGACATTATTTATTACTCTAAGAGTTTTAAGTTTAATGACAGTATCTAAATCTCTTTTTCTTGTTCTCTTTAAATTTCCCCTCACCCCAACTGTTAATTTTCCTAAAATATTTTATACAGAGCAAATATTCATTAAACATCTGAACAAATTACAATTACAGGGGCCTATTAAAAGTTGGATAGAAACCAGTAGTTCTTTACAGGTACCAACATAAGCCTGCCAGGTACAGTCTGTGTGGGCCAACCTCTGTATCTGGCCATTTTTGATTTTTGTTTTTAAATGAACACGTCAAATGGCATGACACTTACAATAAGGACAGAATGTGACAGCATTATCACAAGGTATGCATTTCAGTACAACTTTCCAACCAGGGAACAGGGCAGTACTGAGTGGAGATGAAATAAACAAACAGAAGCCGAGCCGGTCAGGACCGAGTAAGGTTGAGGTTAGTGGCAACAGCATGTGTGTGGTTTCCAGGAAACCTTCAGTAAGACTGCTGTTAGCCCTAGCCCCGCACCCTGCCCAACCCAGTGTGCTGCCTCTTCTTCCAGCTCCCCGCCTGGCTCAGTGCAGCACTGCCCTGCTCCCAGGGATGCAGCCACCTGGCCTGAACTCACCTTGGCAGTGGAAGGGCCTGAAGTATAAAACATGTTAATGCATCATGCCAAAAGTACAGTGAACGTACTTCATACACTCATGGTTCCAGAGAGAGAGAAAATGTGCCACTAGTAAGACAACCTCTACACAAAACAGCCACAAAGAACTCAGAGAAACAGTTTTATAAACACCCATATTTACCAGAAAAGTAAAAACAGATCAGTAACAGTATTACCACACCAAGAAATTGCACCTAATGGATTAAAGCACCAAAAATAATTATGGGCTTCACCTACTTTAACTGCCATTATTTGTCCACTTGGTTTGTGGACCATTTTGTTGACAGAACCATAAGCTCCTCGTCCAATTTCTCCAAGGTCTTTCAAGTCCTCTGCAGTGAAATCCCAGTGTTGCTCGGGGGAGATCTTCAGTTTTCCTGATGACTCAATGCTGTGTGTTCTCAGTCTCTCTCTGTTAAAATATTAGGAAGCAATTTCCACATTTTAAATAGGTTTTTAATTTTTTATTTTAGTAACATTGATTAATGTGTAGGAAATTGGTTTTCTCATAATTTGCTAAAACAGTCTGACTTCCAGATCTGGGGAGTTTTTTATCTGTATCAACTTGATTTTTTGCACACTGACTTCAGAAAGGCCTAAATTTAGGTAATCGATAAACGCAGCTTTAATGGGATTCATCAAACCAATTTTCATTTATTGAAGAAACTAATTCTACAAACCAGTTTTGATTTCCAAATATAAGATCTTTTTCAACTTTGCAAAATGCATTATTAAAGGTGGAATCCTAGGAGCTATAAAGCCCATTTCCAGAAAACTCTTATCCTACCTTACCCAACACTATTCCAGGTCCTCACCCCCAGCACAGCTGTTCACAAATGTTGCTGCACACTAGAATCATCTGCAGATTGTTTAAATCCCATAGCAATTAAATCAGAATATCTAGGGACAAAAGGCAGAAAATAGTGTATTTTTAAAGATTCCTAGGTGATTCTGGCAAGATTTGTGGGACCCAGCATCTCAGTGTACTGCCCTGTTCACATGAATGCCATGCTGAGGTGGGGGTAAATAGGAAAATGAATAGTCAGCTGGATCTAAGGGGAAGACTGTCCCATGCTTCTCAAATTTGAAACTTTTAGCCCTTGTTCAAAAGATAAAGCAATGGGATGAAAACAGATGGTTTATGGAAAAATGTGCTCACTCATTACAGATTTTCACTAAATAAAAATATCATCTCCAAAATTCCAACTGAGATCAACATATTAACTTCCAACCATACTTTATAAAAAAGCAAATCTAAAGAAAAATATAAAATCAATGTCCTCTTTTTCTCTCTCACACTCATACGCACACAAAGTGTAGGAATAAACTGTATCAAATGAGTGAAACACATATAAAGAAAAACATTCCACTGAATATCATCTATATTTTTTCAATTTCATATTAAATGATTAGGATCTTTTTTAAAATCTGGTCTGGTGATACAAGTAAAAGCTTACGTGATTGGTCCTTTATCTTTCTTCTTCCAAAATTTATGAATGTTTCTCAGATATTTTTGGGTTTTATAGCTATATTTAAAGTTTGCAAAATATTTGAATTTTAAAAGTGCTCCCCCAGAACAGCCATGTATACTAGTGGTCAAAAGGTACAAACTTCCAGTTATAAAATAAGCAAGTCCTGGGGAATGTAATGTACAATATGGTGACTTGCATTGTGTAACTGAAAGTGGCTGAGAACATAGATCTTTAAAGTTCCCATCACACACAAATTTGTAGCTATATGTGCTGATGGACATTAACTAGGATTACTGTGGTGATAATTTCACAATATACAGAAATATTTAATCATTAAGTTGTACACCTAAAATAAATATGATGTCAATTATACCACACACACACACAAAAATAGTATCTCTTCCAGGTGAAAAAATAAGTAATAGCCAAAATTCAAGATTGTAATTCAAAGATTAATATACTTTGTCTAAACAACAACTTAATGAAGTAGCATTCCAAATGCCAGATTATCAAATAATAATATTAATGTCATAATACCAGCTTTCATTCATATAGGTTCTTTCCACTTTACACAATACTTTCACCAACATTACGTATACACTAGAACCTAGAGTCACAGAAGCCCAGAAATCAGTGGCTTTTGAAGATGGAAATCAAGCCCAGTGATGAATTTGCTCAGTAATCTTTTTCACAAAGTAGACAAATTAAGCCAGGAATTATTCTGACATAAAGAAGTTTCACTACTTGTAATGATTATTATTCTATGAACAGTGGCAAGTAAACACCATTTCTATGAAATATACAGTACAAGCCTACAACTGAGGGAGCAGAACAAAGGTAATTAAAATTAGGTGTAAATTGGAAGCAACATTTTTTAAGTCTCCACTAATTCAAGGGCTGTAGCAGAGAGGCTCTAGGAGGGTCCCTGTGACCCCTGCTTCCTCAGTGTGCACATCCTTGCGTAAGCTTCTCTCCAAGTATGGATGGGACCTGTAACTTGCTTCTAACCAATAAAATAAGGCAAAGGCTATCCCTCTCATGATCCCATTGTGTTACAGAGCATTTAGTGCTAGCATTCCTAAGACAGCAAACAAATATTTCATTACTACATAGAAATCACAGAAAAGCAGCTATAATATATCTATTAAAGATTGAGTTTTAGAATTATGGAATATCTTGGCTGATAGTTTAGCTTATGATCTAGCCTGCTGTATGGTTTCTAGAGAAGGTCCTTTTTTTTTCTTTTTCAAGGTGAAGAAAGATTGACAGCTAAGGGATGCAGGTTACCTACTTGAACTAATGAAAATGGTCAAAAATTGAGCAAGGTTAACAGATGCACAACTCTGACTAAACTAAAAGCAACTAAACTTTACAGTTTAAATGGGTGAGTTGTATGGTATATGAATTACATCTCAATAAAGCTGCTAAAAATAAAAGATGAATAGGAGAATGTGATTACTACCCAGAGTTCCATCTTTTCATTTAGACAGGAAAAGAGTTATGAACACCACAGAAAAATATGCTGTGGGATGTCACCAGGGCATATTCACAGAGCCTTCAATAATACTGGGCTGGCAATCTTCTTAGTGATACTAAATCAATTTTACACCATTGCTCTAAATGTCAGTCCAACCATGATGTTAGTTCTTCAGAGAAGGGCTGTGCACAGACACACACACAGTGCTCTAGGGACTCTCCCAGGACAGCTGCCCCAAACCTTCACTGTTAAACCCTAGCAGTCAATCACTGAGGCAACTGTACTAAGTAGCCAAAATCTTAGTTACAGTTTTTCATCTTAATGCAAATCTGTCGAACAAGATTGAAGTGTTACTTCTTTATAGTACACAGTATCAGGAATTCCTAGTTGTTTTATTATTCATTTCTTGCCTGAAAATTCAACTCAACTCCATAAACCTAAAAGTTATCCTCAATGCCACTGCCCTATCAGTAAATAAGTTCTGCCTATGAACTTGTATTTACTCATATTCCTTCTAAAACGTGTGTTAAGTACTCTACATGGGCAAGTCTTAACCGAGACATCCCACCAGTGTTGTTTTGGTTTTTATTGGTCCACTCAGGGAACAAAGAAGGGGGTAAAGGTTCTGAGTTTCAAACTAACTCAAGTCTGAGACAGAAATACAATCCCAGCCCCTATCACATCTTCTCCACAAAAAAGTCCAGTAGGAAAAAAGACCATAGAAAAATGAGTAAAATTCTCCTTCGGATTTAAAGGTCTTTAATATGAAAACAAGTTTCAGTTGTTTTTGTTATAACAGGACTTGTAATTAAACTATCCAATGATACACATTCCAGTTTAAAAAAAATCAGCTACACACTAACATTTTTAATGCCTAAGATCACAAAACTGAATTAAATAGTGTATCTCTTGAATACAGTATCTCAAACAGCATGCATTTTTGGATTGATATTAACATCAGGGATGCTATTTAGATATAGACTGAAATTACCATTAAGATATTCTCTCCTATGTAAAAAATAAATGTAAGTAGAATTTTAATAGCAATATAAACTTTGGTGAAATCTACAGATACCAACAATAAGAATTAAAATCTAGGGAAAAAATCAATAAACTTTATTGATTAATTTGAATCAAATTTGAAAAAACAATTCATATACATGGAGTATCTTACCACCAGATTTACTGACTACTAGACTCAGTGTATGTCCCATGGGTTAATATCTTCATGTTCCTTTTCAAAGACTACAAGTCCTATCTTTATAAAGGGATGCCATATAAGTGAATGGGATATATCAAAGATTTTAGGGGTAACCTCTTCCAATTGCTTAAGGGAACACTTATTCTTCCATATCTCATCTTCCCATGCAGAAGAATCTGGTCTCTCATCTGAGCCCTTTATTGATTGATCAGTGAATATGGAGGAAGAAATGAAGATACTCAGTTCAATTCTTCTCTTTCAAAGCTAGCGGGCCTACAGAGAGGGTGTGAATGGCTCTCTAAGAAAGACTCATGGGGTGGGTAAGTCCACTTACTCAAGGGCAGAGGGAGTTAGTCAATTATTCTGCCCTCAGAAATGAGCTACATTTCTGTCTGGCTCCTGCATCTCTCTCAACTGGTCCCAAACACAAATTGAAAGGAGGCTTCTTAACTAGACTTCCATATAACCAGGATCCATACATTTTTTAAAAAGTTTTACCAAGTACTGGAAAGTAATAAAACTAAATGCAATTATGCAATTCCTAGAGTTCAGAGAGAAAAATACCTTCAATGTGACCTAAGATCTTCCAGGCTCCAAGAGTTTCATAGCTATGTAATAGACCCTATAACTGGTTCCCCGTAGTCCCCTTGTAGAAATGCACTGAAACTGAGTTATACCTGGAGCTTTAAGGTCCTGGTGAACTTTTTCTGAAAGTGGTTCACCAAGAGTCTCTCTCAAGGGCAACAGGATCATGTGCAGTCTGCTAAATGTAATTTCTGTCCTAAGATACAATTTCTGTCCTAAACTACATACAAGTCCTAGGGGAAAAAAAGATATGAATAGTAGAAAATATACTCACTGAGAAGATAGGGGAAAAGTAAAAACCAGCAGCAACTGTAGGTTGCCCTTACCTGCTGATAGTTATTTACCTACAGTTGTACTTCCCCAACTTCTCTTTGGGTTATCATTTTCTTAAGAAGAGGAACTGTATTTTATCAGAAATAATTCCTAAATATTCCTCAGGTTTCCTTTCATAATGTCCTATGCATAATTTTGCATAGGTTAACCTTACCTTTCTTCAATGATCATTCTGTAGGGCTCCAACCCCAAGCCCTTGGTTATCAGCCTGGGAAACTCGGCCACAAGCCTGTGGTGATTACTATCAAATATCCATGCTCCTCTTCTTTTCCCTAGGATCTTGTATTTGGGGTAACAATACACCCAACTGCTACCCTTCCCATCTGCTACAGTCTGAATTGTGC